CAAGATTGGAAGAAGTGTCGCGGTGATCAGATTATGACATGGCGTAGAGGTATGAAGAAGCTGGCTTCAGTTAGCTTCCGTTGGTGCAGCTCACCTTCCAGGTTTAGGCCCAAGGGATGAGGATTGTCATCGGCCAAAGACGCTGTAAGATATGGCCCAGAATAGAAATCAGCAGCGTGAATGCTGTACAGCCTACCTGCTGAAATCCCGTGCCTCACAGAACACAGTAAACTAACACGCAAAAATATCGAAATGTACGGTGAAACGAAAAATGGAAAATATTCAAAATAAACCAACCTAGATGAATGGTGCAGTAAATCTCTCATTCTATTCGTGACTCACCGGAATCGGAGGAAAGAGCCTCCATGAACTGGGTCACCGCGTTGTCATCATCGTCGTCGTCTTCATCATTAGGCGAATTCCCGTTTTTCGTTTTGACATCGTTGCTAGGTCCTTCGTGTTCTTCCGATGATGGCTGACTTCTGATGTAGATCGCATGTTCCTCCTTCAACTGAGCAATATGGTCTGTATTGCGATGTTCTTGGTGGTAGTCAATCAGTTCATCCAATATTTCCATCTGATATTTGGATTGACGAAAAGGTTTAGTTTACATTATCTAGCGATAAGTCCTTATTAGAGGACAAAAATCTGAATATTAGAGAGTTTGTCAAGTGTGGGAGGAAATCAGCTGAGACGAAAGCAATATAGCAGCTGAAATTAGACATAAGGTAGGAAATCTGGCGATTTCAGGAAATTCCTAAGTTTCTTTTCTACATGTTTACATACTCTTAGGGATTTATATCAGGTTTTTATGGAGAAAATATACATCCGGGGTACAAGCATGTTTCAGTTTCAGTTTGTGCAACCATTCACCATGTATTTTCATGCATCCATTTCGGTTGCTATATTCCAGCTGCCCATTAGGATAGAAGAGAAGAATCAAGAGTGAAATGTTGAGAGCAGAGTCAAAGTGAAGGTAGAGAATTCATGCAGAACGCGGTTGCGATAATAATGAGCAGATGCACGAGCGCCACTGTTTTCGACATTCAGTCATATCACCCAGTGCCTCTAACCACAGGTTACCATGAGATCACCTAATGCCCCTCGTCTTATATTGTCCTATCGGACTCATATCACGTTGCACAGTAAACCACATTTAAATACGGAGAGAGTGGGGTAGTTCAGTTCAATTTGTCCAACCATTAACCACGCATATTTGTGCGCCGGTTTTAGTTGCTGTCTTTTGGCTGCCCATTTGAATGAACAATAGAAGGAAAGTTGAAAGCGGAGTCGAACAGCAAATGGAAAAATTCAGTGGTCTAAGTTTGCAAAGAAATTGAGATGCAAGAAGGCCACTGTTTACGACACCCAGCCATATCACTCGGTGTCTCTAACCATCGGTTACGATCATCCCGAGGTCCCCAGCCAGGGAGCCTAACAGGATCTATGTGACCCAGTCTCCTGGTTAGGGTTTTCATACCTTCCTGCCAGGTCTTAGCTTGACCACCTCTGGCTTTTTTCCACTCGGTGTCTGCTTCGGCGAACGAGAGGGAAAACGTTCAAGCTGTTTATGATAACGGTAGATAGTCGGTGTGAACCTTACTCTAAGAGCTAGTCAAAACTGCTATGATCATGCCATGATCTAAACCTGATGCTAGAAATTTCTCCTAGATTTTTATGGGTCTTTCCGATCGACATTTGCCGCTTCTACCATGCACAAAAAACGGTGGCAAATATTGGAGCGACAAAACTAAACAAAAGATTCCATGCTTCAAAAATGAAGGCGAATGAATATACTCACCGCAAGCGTGGTATTGCCTGCTGATCGAGCCGCTTGAAGCGCGAAATTCAACGACTCCACTGTGTTGGAAGATCCGGAGAGAACTGAGGAATTACTCCCGGCCCGATCTTTCTCACACGTCAAACGTTGTGCTTGGGCAAGACTGAACCAACTGCTAGCCAAATCCGCATTGGGTAACGAGGTTGCGGTGACCCAACCGATTTCACGACGATACGTGTCCACACAACAATCATACTCGCTCATTGCACGGTACGTTTCGGCCACTGAGACCAGTGCGGCATCGACAATCTTAGCTAAAGCTGTTCGCGCAGTATCCGTCGTTGTACACTCACTGTAAGCCCTCTCAGCGTGTGTCAGCTGTGAGATAAACGATGCGAAGGCATATGGTAAATATTTGAACAATTAAACCCAGAAGGAAATAAATAACGTTGTATCACTGTTAGTCTGATGTAATTTGTTTGCGATTTATTTGCAATGTTCCCAGATAGTCAGTTCGTCCAGGAGGCCATAGTGTCCGTTGATTGCAAAATTAAATGAGCCAATCTAGCTACTGCGTCTGAGATATCACTCAGGATATGATCGCCAAGCGGATGGTTGTTTTTATTCTACTTTCACAGCCCTCCTAAATGCTACCTCTTCGTATTCACTCATTTTGCAGTGTCATTGTTTACACTTCACTGCAAATCCCTTCATTGTATGATGGAAAACTAAAATAGAATTGGGGAACAACTATACTCATTTGATTTTGTAATACCACCAGAGCAAAAATGCAAACAAACCATAAACAGTTGTGAGATGTACCATGAATTGATAGTGCCTCAACGCCAGTCCATGCATTTCCAATCCGGAGTAAATGTCACCCATTCTTTCGTGAGCACGCGAAGTAGTTCGAAATGTCTCCAAATCGAACGGGACAGATTCGGGTATGGTGTACATTAGCTTGGATAAACGCATGCCTGAGTGTGAATCGATTAGAAACAATTTGATTTACATTTCTGAATCAGTTGTCGGCAGTAATCCGACGAGTTTGGATTGTGTAGCTTCAACAGACGATAAACCTTTGCAGCCTTGCGAAACTGTCCAATCGACAAGTAAATCTATATTGAACGAGCGGAACATTAGGAGTATGAGTAGCAAACCTGAGCCATCGATTCCCGTAAACTTTTGATCAACTCCTTCGACTCTTGATCCACGTTGGTTTTGGCCATGGGAGATACCAATGCCATTCTGACAATTAAGATATGTGCATCAACAATTCGCGAGCTATGGAAATCAGGCTTACTGTAAAACGGTCATCACGTTGCGCAACGGGGCCGAATTCATAAGGGTAATGAGGCCAGAGCGATTCACCGGCTCATAACTATGGGTAGGCGGAGTATTCATAGACAAATCGGCGATCTGGTAGCATGCACGAAAAAGGAGCTTTTGCAGTTGATATTTGCGTGCCAACGAAATGCACTGAGTGAATCGTTCCAGAGCTGCGGTACGCTCACGCTGTGCACGAAAAACTTGACCTACAGCAGTTTCAGTGAGAGAAGGCTGAACCCAAGTGTTCAGATATAATTACCGAGATTTAGCAGTGAAACGGCGCGCATCTCACCCAGCTGTTTACTGTCCAACTCTCCGGTGAACTCAGTGATCATTTGAATACTGTTTAAAAGGGCCTGAGCAGCCGATTTCAGATTCTTTTCGACGAAATCACCATCCTTCATGGCCTCCGATCGATTGAGAAAACAACGCCCCAATGTGACAAAAGCACGTTGCTGTTCCAACTTGTTGCCTAATTCAGTAGCTAGTCTTAGATACTGATTTGTATGACTGATGGCTTGATCGTATTCATCTAATTCGATGCAGCAGTCGGCAAGAAATCGATGAGATATAGCACACTGCAGCTTATCGCCTTTCGACTGCCACAGTTCCAACAACTTTGTGAACTCACGTAATGCATGAGTATGATCACCTGCAAACAAAAAATGATCAAGTTAAAAACGCTTGCAGACCAGATTCCGTATGTAGGACTGCAATCTCCAAAGTCAGATCCGCTTCTTCTTTCACTGATTTGGCACGATTCCTCTGTTCCAATAGTTCTAAGACGAAAGTCAATAAACGAACGTTAAACTTGCTTTTCAGTTGCATCTTATGTTCAAATAAAAGGCTGAAAAGGACAATCAACAAATGACATAAACGAGAAGCGAGAATGGGAGAAAAGACAACAAACACAATGGAGAGACTAAGGCATTTCATTATCGACAGAAACTCTTATACGTAAACTCTTCTCGAATGGCTTTGCTTGGAAGCTCTGAAAGACAGTTTGTAACCGGGCACAGTGGAGGAGCTATCCAACTTTCGGTTTTTTCTCTTATCCTAACAAAAACTCCCCAAAAAGCTAAAAATGGTATACTATGAAACCGACAAATTAGGCTGTTATTCGCGCTTTTCTATGTATTCAACATAAACAACTACATAGCATTCACAGATGTGGTACAAAATAAGGAAGAAATTTGAAAAAGATTCAAACACAAATCAACGAATAAGAGTCCCACAACAGGGGTACCACTGACGCCAGTTTCGAGCTACGTCGGTTGGTGTCTAGAGCTATAGATTATTCACATTTGTGAAGCACAGTAGACAGGGGGTGGACCCTATGGTCGCGAAGACCTGTTGTTCCGTGATGGAAACAAGCAACCAAGGTCCTGGGAGTGACGAACCACATACGGCTCTGCTAGGTTAGGCGTGGTATTGAACCGGATAACAGCAAAACTGCCTACCACAACTGTCAGTTCTGGGATTAACGCCTCTATCGTTGGAGCCTGGGTTGACGTTCTTCATCTTGTCGCTGCTTACAGTTAGTGACGGTTGACCCAAACAACACGACGGTGTAGTCGTTGAACTGGCATCCGCAACACATGCTCCAAACATCGAAGTCTTCGGTGCGAGATGGCGGCACTCAGAGGACTACTAAGGCGAAAACTCCACGATGATTCGCTGTTGCTAACGTATTCTGGCGATACAAACCCTAATCAGAATATTGGGTCCCGTTAGGCTCCCTGGGCGGGGACCTCGGAATCGCTGTAATCAATGGTTAGAGATACTGAATGATACGACTGAGTGGAACAAACAGTGGCGCTAATGCATGTACTCAATATTTTTGCAACCCTAATCTACGTAAAACCTCTATCTTCCCCTTGAATTTAATTTCAAAATCCCAATCTTCATTCTGCTCTTTTATTCAAATGGGCGGCCAAAAGACAACAACCAATACTATCGCACGAAAAAGCATAGTTAATGGTCCTAAAAACTGAATATATATATATATATATATATATATATATATACATTCCAACACGTCTGAATTCAGACTGTGCCAACAAATCATGGTATAATAATCTTTACAAAAAGAAAAATGTTCCATGATTGGCTTGTGGGCTGAGTACTGCCAGGTTGCCCAGGCCAAGGCAGGTGAATTTTCTTGAGGAATCCACAACCGGAGCCTTCGGCTAGCCAAAGCCTGACCCGCAAGACAGCGGAGCATGGTGCGAAAACCGCAGTCCATTGGGCCCGG